GTATAAGAGACAGGGGCTGGGGCCGTGCGCTGTTCTCCGTGCTTGAGGGTGAGGGGATGGGGAGGGGAATCGCCCTTGCTTTCCTGTACCGCTTGCTCTCCCTTCTTCGTGTCCAGGACGCTCTGTCTGAGCTGTTCTCCCGCTGCGGGCGTGTCCAGTCTGTGGACATCTGTGACAAGCCAGGGACGGGAGAGAAAAAAGAAAAACTGACGTCCAAATTCTTCAACCGCAAAACTGTAACGGTAAAACTGGGGCGGGAGGGCGAATACTGGTGCTTTAGTGGTCAGAATGGGAAAAGATTGCAAGCACTGAGTGGTACCATGAGATACGGGAAACCATTTGGGGGCATTGGGTAACGTGGTTATTGATTTGTTTACTTTTTTTTTTGCTATCCCACTGCAACTTGTAGTTTGATATTTTATTTTATTTGTACTGCGTCTCCTTGCTGCGTTGCCAGTTTCCCTGATAACTGGCCTAGGAGTCTTTTTCTTTTAGGGATTTCAAGTAGCGTATGTGGTATTCAGGAAACCAGCTGCTGTCCAGGCAGCCAAGGCTCTGTCACGGGAAGGTCCCTTGCTGATATCAACAGAGAGTCATCCTGTGAAAACTGGCATTAGCAGTAAGTTGGCCCTAGCTATCTTCCTGCTATCTAGTGTCAGGGAAGAACTATACTCATTCCTTGCTGAATCCTACCTGCATGTCCCAGATTAATTCTCACCATTTGGTACTGAGCCAGGAGACATCCAGTGTTATATTGTCTGGCTTTTATTATTTACAAGGTAGCAATCTTGTAGTGAATGTTGTAGTCTGGCCCAGGGACTATGGGTGAATGGAGTCACATGGTACAATGGAAGAGCAGTTTTTCCCGAAACCTTTTCAGTGTTACATAGACTCAGAGAAACCGGCTGTGGCTTGTCCTGAAAAAGGAATCCACACTCGGTAACAGGCACCAGGCGTCTGTCAGGATGACAGCACTTCAGATATGATCCCTTGACAGGAACCTGCAGCCCTGAATGTTCTACCTCTTGGGCTTAAGGCTAGCTTATTCTTGCTTGGGAAAGTTGCAAGTTCTTTCCATCACTTACAGGCTGTGACATGGGCTGCAAGTTGGTTGAGCTGTGGCAGTGGGGAGGCTGAACAGGAATGGGAACAGAGTGTCCTTCCCTGCAGCAGTTCTTTCTAGAGCTGCTCAAATGCATCACACTAGTGCTTGCTTCTAACAGGCTACTGCTGAATTCTGCCCTCTCTGTCACAGAGTGGATCGCCAGCTATGCTGCCTCAGTTGTGGATCAGGAGGAGCTGAAGGCTGAGGTGGATGCCTACATGCAAGACTATGACAAAAAGATAGCAGAGGTGAGGCCAGGGTGGGGAGTGAACCCAGCTAAGCAGTTTGGGGAGAGTCTGGTCCAGAACAGCTGATCCTTGCACCAAGAGCTTACAATAGGTATCCACAACTAAATTGGGGCCTGCCTGGCATGCAGTGTTTTGACTGAGAGTTGAATGTCTGGATACTTGGTCCTATGCCTTTCTTCAAATCTTGTGCAGAAGCTGGAGCTGTAGTTTTGCATGTTTTTAAGGGGGACTGTGGGGGAGCTGGGTGTCAGGCTGGCTGGCAGCCCATCTGCACTGAGCTGCCTCACCCTCCTGCCTTTGCAGGAAGAAGCCAAGGCAGCCAAGGAGGAGGGTGTTCCAGATGAGGAGGGCTGGGTGAAGGTGACGCGAAAGGGCCGGAAGCCTGGCCTGCCCCGGACAGAGGCTGCCAACCTGCGGGTGCTGGAGAGGGAGAAACAGAAAAAGGCCCGCAAAGAGCTGCTGAACTTCTATGCCTGGCAGCATCGTGAGACCAAGAGAGAGCGTGAGTGTCCAACTCTCCTCCTACCCTTGCCTGTGTCTCTTGTCTCTCACATTGTGGCTCAAAGAATGTGCCCTTTTTCCTTCAGTGGAGGCTGTGTCCAGCTGTGGGTGAACAGCTGGCTGGGTGGTTCTGTGAATAGCCTCGACAGTTCTTTGGGGGGCCCCTTGCCACCATCAGCTCTAGTGAGGGCCGCTGGAATATTTTGCGGGAGAGCGTGCAGGTCATGGCTTTCCAGTAGATGGGAATTCAGTCTGCGCAAAGGCAGCAATTGAAAGGAAAAACTACCCTATGTCCTCCCCAAGAGGGAGCTGCAGCACTGCTGGAGATGAATGGCCAGAGCCCTGGCTTGGCACTCAGCCCAGGTGCAAAAGGACCTGCTCTGGGAAGTGTGTGTCTGCAGGTGTCGGGACTGAGCCCCTCCTGGTGTGCGGAAGTGAAGCACCCCAGAAGAGGGAGATCCACACTGCTCCTGTGTGACCTGTCCTTTCTGTTTCAGACATTGCCCAGTTGAGGAAGAAATTTGAAGAGGACAAGCAGAGAATTGCACTGATGCGAGCCCAGCGCAAGTTTCGGCCGTACTAAGCCGTACTGAGCTGTTCCTCAGGTGCCTGTGCTGGAGAGGGCAGGAGAGATGTCCATGGACTCCACATGCCAAAGCATTTCAAGGAATTGAGGCAGCTTCAGGTTGTGCCTGCCCTTGGATCTGAAATGGGAGATCCCAACAGCTGCTGCTGGAGTGGGAGTTTCCTTCACTCACACTAGTATCCTGCTCTCCTGGCCATCGGCTGGCCCCGTGGCACCGCTTCCCAGGCTGCTCAGGTCAAGGGGCTGAGGCATTTCCTGTGACAACCTCTATTGCTCTGCCAACCAAGGCGCTCCTAAAGCTTGGTGAGAACTGGGATTGACCTAGCACAGCCTCTGCAGGGGCAGAGAATGGCTGAAGAACTGTAAATAAACTGCTGCTATGTTCTCAAAACATGGGAATGCCTCCCTCTCTCTTCCCCTTTGGTCTGCTGTGGAGGACAGCTTGTGTGCTGGGGTGGCAATAAAAGTCACAGTTTGTATGCTGGTGCTCCTTCCCACATTTTATCTGGGGCTGAGTAAGAAGAGGAGGGAAGTGACCTTGAGAAAAGCCCAACTGGGAAGTTTCCAGACCTGTTGTCACAAGGAAAGATCAGTGGTTTTGAACAGAGCCCTATCCCTTCCCTTGGTGTTTTCCTCCCAGGTGGCTCCCCCTCCGGCAGGTGTTGAGATGCCCAGTCTTCCTGCTACGCATGGAGCTCTGCAGCTGTGTCTAGCCTGGGCTATGGGAGCTTCTGATGGTCTGCACCATCATTAGAACAAGGCGAGATGGCAGCCTAGCTTTGGAGGGAGAAACCTGACTCTCCAAGGCCTGTTCCCACTTGACTTGTCCTGCAGGAGGCAAGTAAGGAAGGCAGTGGACATTTCCAGCTGCCGGGCAATGCTTTTGTACTGCCCATATAGCATTTGTGCAGCTTTGGACCTCACGATGTTCACCCCAGCACACACTCAGATCAGAAAGGGGCTGTAACCCACCCACCCCCTGACTTTCACACATCTATTTTATTGCCTGAAACCTTGATATAGGTGTGACCATGAAAGTAAGGTGGAAATGCTGATAAATTCCACAAAGCTGGGTTAAAATGGATTTATCCTCCCCTAGATCACCCACTGCAAATGCAGTTTCCATTGCACTGAGGAGTCTGCCAGGCCTGCTTGTTTCAGGGGGCTTTTTGCATCGATTTAACTAGGAGGCAGATGGATCCTTAATATGCCCTATCTAAAGCAGACTGCATGTAAAAATCTCTGCCTCCTGAGATCGGTGTTTTAGCTGCTTGGGTGAGCATCCCAAAAGAAAGGAGGTTCACTCTCCTATAGAGTCAAGATGACAGTTAATCTTTATTTAGAAGGACAGAAATAATCTCTGAAAACTTTTCTGTTATTAGTAGTTCTAGCTGCTTCAGCTAGAGGATTAGTGACTTATTCCCTAGGAGTTCATTAAAATGGCCTTCTGTGCCCAGGTGAGTTTCCACTTAAGCTGATTTTTTTTTTTTTTTTCCAAAAAGCAGCAGCTCTCGTGGTAGAACAGAGCTACTGAGGTCTTGTGAGCTCAGGTACCCTTGGAAGAAAGCAAAGAAGCAGAACACTTTCCTGATTTTTGTGTAGGTCTAATCCTGGGAGGAGACTGGTCACACCACCCTTGGGGAGGAGGTGAGATGAGCCACCCCTCTCTTGTAAGGCTACAGCTGGTGCTGCTGCTCCCAGAGAGGATGCCTCTGCCTGTATTCCTGCTCCATTTCAGGCTGCAAGTTAGGAGCAAGCAAGGGGAAGGTTGCTGTGGGCCTCTATCCCCATACTTACAGAGCTGGAATTGAAGGAAGGATTCCCTTTGACAACTGAGACACTTTGCTCAGCTCTTCCTCAGCGAACACCTGGCAGACCTGCTCCACCCTACAGTGAACTAAGCTGAGAAAACAGTATCATGAAACTGATGTTGGATGCAAGGTAGGAATGTGACGATTCCTCCAGAGCCAGCTTTTTAGCTTTGTTCTCCTGGACTGCTGCAGCAGTGAGGGATTCCTAGAGCCTGGCTCTGGTGTTCTGTGCTGTCAGGAAGTTGCTGATGATCCCAGACACCATCTCGGGCTCGTTCAGGTGCACAAAATGACTCCCAGGCACTGATACTAGCTGGATGTGCTGGAGGGAAAGTACACAAGATATAGGCCAGGGAAGTGTTCCCTGAGGCAAGCTGTAGCACACATAATGGGGTGGAATTGGGAGGACCAGGGACGAGCTGGGTCCAGAGGGCTGTACTAACTCGGGATTTTGGTAGCAAGGGCAAAGTTGGCTTCCCTGCCCTGTGAGGGCTGTGCTGTTCAGGACAAACCACCTAGTGGGGGATGCCCACCAAAGTGAGCTGCACCCTAGCTGCTGCTCCCAGGTTTGTGGCACATAGCATGGAGATGCAAGGATGGAGTTTGCTCTCACCTCTTTGAGGGAAGACTCGAATGCCTCCAATAGGGCTTTAACAAAGTGATTTCCACTGTCTAGCTTGTGCGGTACCAGGAGTCCATCTTGTGCTCTGAAAAGCAACAGCAAGGCTCAGTACAGCACACAGTTTGCTGCTGTCCTGGGTGGAAGCAGTGTCCCCAAGACAGTGGGATGACACACCCAACTGCTCTTTCCAGGCTGCTTGTAAACAACAGGGTTACAGGGTAATACATGGTAGTCAGAGGAGCCCTAATCAGCTATTTTCTACCAAGCTAAAACCTCAGGTGACTGCCTAGTAGTAGCATAGTGGAGACTGGTTAAATACTGTCCTCAAACTGCTGGTTCCTTAATTGGTCTGAGTACATGATTCCTCACCCTATCTTTGGCTCTTAACTTTCTCCTTCCATACAGCTTCCACATCTCCCATCTGTCCCTTTTCCCCCTCCATGCTGCTGCTTTAAACAAGGTATGCTCTGCTTGGAGAGTGACTACCAGGGCAGCCCCCCTGGAGAAGCCAGCATTAGACCTCCTGCAGAGCTAAGATTGTGCCATCTCCTCCCATGCTGCAGGTAGGTGATGGGACAAGGTGACATCCCAGGCAAAGGAATGTCCTCTGTATGACCTAGAGGACCTGTCCTCATCGTGAGGTTGCATTTTCTGACGAGCAGGAAAATCCTTAAGCTCTTACAATTTCAACAGACTGGGGAAGCCAAAACTGCAGCTCATTTCTGAACTTCTAACACTTCCTCTCATTTCCTAGAGACCTTTAACAGCACCATACAGGCTGAGGTAGCCAGAGCCCTGCACATCTTGCCCTTTAGGAGATGGGGAAAAATGCAGAGGAGGACTGATGGAACCAGCTACCCACCCAGACAGCTTAACAGCTTGCGGGGCTCTGTGGAAGCCACTGGCTACCCCTCCACAGCTTTTCCCTGCCATGGGCACTGCAGGGGAGAGCTTGCAAGAGCTGGGTCAGGCTGGGGGCTCCATGATCAACTGGAGGAGGTGGAGGCTGCTGTGGTTTCACCTGTTTGCTCAGGCAAGAAGTTTTGGGGTCTGGAGAAGGGGACAGGCCAGGTAGCTGTGACTGGGGAAGAGTCAGCCCAGGAGGAAAGCAAGTAGGAGCAGGGCTGTGGAGGGTCATGTGTTTGCCAGGATGGCTCCTGGCTGTAAGGCCAAGGGATGGAAAGTTGCGCAATGGGAGTGTGAAGGAAGGAGCATGGGGAGGACAGGGCAGGAGTGGCATTTCCTCATTCAGTCTTGCACTAGGGAGGCCCAGCCTGAAAGCACAGTGCCAGGGCAGGAGGGGGATGTTCCAGCTGCTCTCTGTCTGCTCCAGGAGCCTGCCCAGCCTAGGGTAGTGGTGGGGAATGCTTTTTCCATGTGAGGTTGTACTGTTGTGCCAGCTGGCCCGAAGGTCTGGATGGCTGCTGCAGAGGAGGGGGTAGTGGATGGCTCCTTTCTAACCTTCATTCCTTCCACCCAGGACCGCAGGGAGGCCACGGGGGCTAGTTTGGCTTGTGCTTCACTCACACAATGATAAGAACACGGTCCTGGATCTTCTGCAGGAGCTTCACACACTGCTCCACTGTGAAGGACTCTCGACTTTGCTGCAGGTGCAAAGACAGGGAGAGTGGCAAAGGTCAGGGACAGCAGCTTAGGACAAAGGGTGTCCCTGACCCCTGCCGTGCTAGTGGCTCTGAAGGCTGAAGGGGCTGTGGCCCTGAAGCTGCTGTGCTGGGACATGACAGGCGGCCAGGCTGTGCACAAGAGTAGCTGGCTCTGCAAAGGCTCCTTTTGTCCAGCTGTGTTTCAGGACTGCCAACAACGCTGCCTGCTGGGATGCAGCACATATGGGAATGATCTCATAGCAGAGAAAAGCTTTAAGAATCCTTTTACAAAAAAGGAGACAGTACACTACTCTGGCTTTCATACCCTGGCAGTAGCACAGGTAGAGGAGGCCCCACTTGCTCAGAAGTGGCACAAAGCTATCAAAATATCAAACATAAGGACTCTGCTCCACACTCTCTCCCCTTCTTATACGGGTGACCTGACAAAGAACTTGACCAAAAGCATCCATGTATCTGCTGCCTGAAGAGTTATAACAGCAAGAAAATGTGGCCAGGGGGCCCTGGAGCAGAGGAACTGCTAAAAAAAAAAAAAAAATCAGTAACATTTTCCAGTGACTCTCTAAGTTGAGTCAGTTAATGATTGAGTGCAGGCTCTTTTAACAGCAGCATTTAAGAGATGTGGGAATTAGGGAAGCAGAAAGTAAACGGCTGGGTGGAGGCAGGGCCTGGGCTCAGTGAGTGGGCCTCCACTATCTGAGTTTTCTGTAAGCTTGGGGCCCAGAAGCAGCAGGGGGCACATCAGAAGAGCAATGCTCACCGTATGGACTCTCATGTCTCTGTTATACACCAGCCCTGGAATGAAAAAAACAAGGTTTTTGTGTCTCACAGGAGCAGGAGTTGCTCTGTTTCACCTCACCTTTGGGGTCTTCCCAAGACTTTCTGAGACGGGAAGAAAATGATTAATTCTGATTTCTCCCTCCCTTGATTTCTTTAGCTGTTCTAGGACCCAAGCACCAACCCTACTTACTGGGGATGGAGAGCTTTGCCTCCAGACTTAATTGATCCCATTCAGGCTGTGTAAACTTGTAGCTAGGGCACCCTGTACCCTGTGGAAGACAATGGCTGTTGGCACTGCTCCCTTCCCACTCCCAGCGTTTGCCCAGCACTGTGATGAGCCCTGTCTCCACGCAGCCCCTTACCAGTGGGTGTCTCAGTTGCTCCTCGCTGCAGTAGGATTGCCCCACCCTCTGCTGTCAGATGTCTGTTTGCTTCTAAGAGCCTGAGGGAGACATGGCAGAGAGATTGTGTGGCTGGAAAAGGGAGGAAGTGAAGCAAAAATGGCATGACAAGGTGACAGTGAGCTCTCAGGCTGCTTCAGAAAAGAGCAGGAAGAAGCAGCAGCTTCTGGCAGCAAAAGCAAAAGGTCTTGCTGAGATTCCAGAGGAGGACTTGAAAGGGGAAGTGCAGAGACAGTTTCCCCTTCTCATTCATGCAGGTGTAACTCTGTCCAAGGTGAGGCCAGGCAGCAAATGAAGAGGACAGAAAGGAACCCACCTCTGCAATGCTGCTTTGGGGCTCCGTGCTTTGGGAGTTTGCTGCTTTGCCTCCAGATTCAGTAATCTGTCAATCACCATCCGTTTTGATTTCCGCCATGCCTCTGTGTCCTGAAACAAAGAGAGGTAGGGAACAGGAAGTAACCTCTCCTTTCTGAATCATTTTACCTCTTATCAGAGGGTAGAAGAGGGCATTTTACCCTTTAACTTCCCTAAGAACTGGTACCGGTTATGGACATCATATTAAAAATGCCCATTTCTGGGGAAAAAGGGAATAGCAGTACTTGAAAGGTAAGGTACGAACAGAAAGATAAGCACTGTTTTAAAAGAACTTAAGAATTTTTTACCCTTGCAATCTTTTCTACCTCTTCCCACCTCACTTCTGAGTTTAGGACAACTGTCCAAAAGAGTCAGGTAAACCTAGTATTTTTCATGTCTTTGACCCTAGGCTTTTATCCCACTTCTGTGAACTGAAGCCCCAGCACCTGGTAGCAGATGGCAGATAGGGAATGTAGCTTTATGTCCTGCCAGGAACAGAACAAAAAAATCCACCAGTCTTGTACTCAGGTCACCCAACAAGCTGTTGGCAAAAATATAATCTCTGCTGGCAGTTGCTTGACAGAGGTTCCAGTTCCCTGGACAGGGCACAGACAAGTGAGTTCCAGGGCTAAGGGACTGCCGGATGTGGAGCACTACCACGTGTCCCCCAAGGGCTACTCTAAGCAGGGACCTCAGTCCATGCAACAAGGAGCAGATCTGTGCCTGCCAAAACAAAGAGCCCTGAGACTTGTGTGACCTGCCAGGAACTGGTCACATCAGTGCTTTTTCTGAACAAATGAGGGAAAGAAAAAAAACATGTTTTTTTTATTTAAAAAGGAAGGGAAGAACACAAGAAATCTAACCTCTGGAGCTAGCAGAAAGCCAAGATTTTCCAGCAGGATCAGCTTGTCCACCATCTCAGGATAAAGGAAAGAGAACTGAGGAAAGATGAGACAATCTAAGAGAAAAGCTGAACACTGAGTGATGTCATCCTGCTACCCTGGAGAGGGGGCTGTCTGTCCCTTCATTCCTCTCCCATTTATTGTTCCAGCTATGGAAATCACAAACCCAGGAAGAAAGGACTCACCATTCCTGCCACAGACCCACCTGCAGAGGAGAGAAAGGTGCTCGGTTACAGACAGGACACCCTCCAGTAACAAAAACTCCCCTGCAGCAGGAGCTGCCTTAGAAGCAGAATTGCATGTGGTACCGACAAAGCCCCTGCTACAAAGTAGAGCTCTCCCAGCAGGCAGGATGCAGGCAGAGGGCACGGCTGTGGGCCAGCTGGACTCCTCATCCTGTGCCATTCCCATCTCCCTCTCAGGCAGCAAAGGCCAAGGAGAAGTTACTAGTAAAAATACTATTGTGTGCAGGTCCTGCAAACTGTGGCCAGAGCAGCCCTAGAGAGCAAAACCTAAATTGTGGCAAAACCCAATCATGTCCCAAACACAAAAGGAAGTGTCTGCCTGGGGTCCGGTTCCCCTCAACAAGCTCCATGACCCACCACAAAGGGCCGTGCTTTCTTCAGGCTTTGTGACCTTGTGGGGCCCAGGCAGGAAGGCCTGCTGCGAATTCTCCTGCTGTAGACCACCCTCTTTGCTCATCACTGTTCCCTCCTAGGGGTGGGGGAAAGGCCCACAGCAAAAGTTACCACTGTTTGTACTACAGGGTTTTGAAAGCAGAGGCATTTCAAACAAGGGCACAGATTTTTGAATCACTCAAGCTGGAACCTGGTACTTGACACACTATAATAAATATTCCAACTCAGCTCCTAGCAGCATGTCTTGTAAATTAATTATCTACTCTTATTTCCACAAATCTCACGTCTTACAAGGACAAGAGCCACTTACCCATACTGTGACCCATCAGGGTGAACCGTCTCCACTGCAAGGCTAAGTGGCAACAGACAAAAACAGACAGTACTGCATTAGAAACCAGAGCAGCGGCATCTTGCTGCTTCTCCACCAACACAGGCCCCTTCTCATGGGAGGGCTTTTGCACTGCTTAATTTGCTTCCTAATCCAGAAATGAGGTAACTAAGTAGGCCAGTTTTAAAGAAAAAGAGTATCTACCACCTCATTTCCTTGGCAGCTAATCCATGCAGCTCTCAAGCTCTCTCTGTATGGCAAACAAACTACAGCAAATTCTCATTCATTTCCAGACACGAGACTGGAAAAAAGCAAAGGAGCCTAACTGGGCAGCATCTTCTAGAAGAGAGAGACCTTGACAGAACATCCTGCTGCAGCACATTCCACAAGAGCTGTGAGGACACAGAGCCAGGTCTGCTGCCTTGAGGGAAGTATGATTATTCCAAGGGGAGGCTCTTCAGTCCATTTTTAGGTCACTCTGAGAGGCTTATTGGGCAACACTGATAAAGTTTTTCCATCTGAAATATACGTGACTGAAAGATGTGTTTTATCCTCTGGCATGTCAAATAAGTTCTAAAGGCTCTTGTATACTGAATGAAGGATGTAAAACTGCATGTGCCACAACCTCCCACAAGATCAGCATACAGATAGGCAGGTAGATCAGGAGTTATTAGGAGTCAAAGACACCTTGACATTCAGATTTCTTTGTATGATACTAAAACAAGCAGCAAGCTGCCATCGGGGAGAACCAGAGCTTACACCCAACTTACTTACACCCAACTTAAATCTAACACTGTTTAGAGGTCACTGGTTGCTTACAAAAAGCCAGTCTGGCAAAACTACTTATTTGCATCTACCACTTCACCGCTACTGCTTTTTAGTATAGAAACACTTGCTTCCCAGGGCTGTTTCTTCTCACAAAACGTGAGAGAGTTGCTTATTCAGTCTGTGGTCACAAAGCACTGGCTGTGGAGAAGCAGAGGGAACTGATCCCTCTCCTGGCAGTATATGCAGGACCAATATAGCACCCCCTGCACAAACATCCCCTTAAGAGTCCCAGTAGTTACCCACCGGCTACCACTCGGCGCACATCGGTCACATAATCCAGAAAATGGTAGGGGGAGCCTGCAGGTCGGTGGGATGACAAGCCATGGCCAGAAAAATCCATTGCCACGTAATAGTAATCTGAAAGGGAGAGAGTATCAGATGTGCAGCCCTGCAACACAAGAACCATTCTGATGAGCCAGACCTACCTCTGGGGAGCAGTGGAATGAGCTTGTCAAAGGTGTTGGCGTTGTCCAGCCAGCCATGCAAGCATAGCACAGGGTGTCCCTCTGAGGGTCCCCAGGCCTTGGCTGCCACGTGGCCCCAGGGCACAGGGAACTTACACTCTGAGAACATGCCCAAAATAGGGTGCTTGCAAGTAATGTCCCTGGAGAGCCACGAGCTCGGAGTAGGTCTCAGGAATCTTGTTAATGGCCCGGAGCTCTGAAAAGAGTAATACAGGTCTTTAGTAACTCACCAGTCTCCTGTGGTCTTAATTAGCAGCTTGCCAATTTATAGCTCCCCATTCAACATCCCAAGCTGCCGTCCCTGCCTGTCTGTTTGGGGAATCCTCCTCCCAGCACATACTAGCAGTGCTTCTAGGAAGAAACAAGCTTTCCCTATGCAGGAGGAGAAAACCTCCTCTATATGTCTCTGCAGCAGCTGCAACCCAACTAAAAGGCACAGGAGATCTGGCAAGAGAAAACTGTGCAGAATTCCCCCAGCTAGCTGCAGTCAGCCAGGTACCTGTCCTGGACCAAAAAGGCAATTTCAGGAATAAGGATGTTGCTTCCAGTTCTAGACTGATACCACTTTCTCCTTTGTTACCATGGTGCTTCAACTCTTTCACACCACCAGTCAGCACCTTCAAAAGAGCAGCTGGCTACGTGCCAAACAGCAGGTCACTGCTGCCACCCTCCTGCTCAGCCCCAAACCCATCTCATCGCTGCTGATCTGCTTGGCAATCACTGAACTACATCTGACCCTTACTCGACCCCTGAGGGACAGAAGGAAAGATCCCTCTGGGGATTTTCCAAGGGGTGGTTTGAATATCTCCCCTTTAACCCCAAGACCTTTTGATCCCCGGGGCTCCTCATAGGCAGCCTGACTAATCCTCATCCCAAGGTCTCTCGTGCCATATCCCCTTCCCAGTGACTTGTCTCAGGTTGCTGCTCCCTTAAATAGACCCCTGAGACCCCACAGCAATTAAATCACTCTACAGCAAGTCCCTCCTGAGCCCCTGTCTCTGTAAGGTGTGAGGATAGAGAGGGGAGGCTGCTGCTATGCCCCTGAGAGCACCTAGAGGCCCTTATGGTCCTAACCAGCCACACCCAGGGCCTCCCCTCCATCTTTCCCTTCCTGCTCACGAGCCTGTTTAAGCTCAGCCCAGGGCCAGGACCAGCCCCAGCCATGCTGCAGGAGTGCTGGTTTCCAGCAGCAATGCCCTAGCCCTAGGAACCAAGGCCCTGCGTGCCCATCACAGTGCTGCATCTGACCCTGGCTGCCCCTGCCAGGCCTGATCCTGACAACCGTGGGCTGACTTCCTGTCGTGACCATGGGTCTGCCCCTTCCTCACAGACCTGCCTGAGGACGTGGGCTCCTGGCCGAGCCTGGCCGCCCTCCTTGGGCCCGCTCTGCCTGGGCCCAGCGGGTCTCTGGCCCAGGCCCGTCCCCACCCTTTCCCGGTTCCGCGATGGGCGCCTCCCCAGGCGGGCAGGAAGGGCCGCTACACCCGGGCCTTCGCCACAGGGCGCCCTGG